GCGCGCTACGAAGGCCACTGGGAAGACAACGTCAAGCACGGGCTCGGGCTCTTCTTCTTTGAAGATGGCACGATTTATGAAGGTACAAACCCTTCTTTCAACGAAAAGTATCAATATATCGAGCAGGCGAATTCGTCCGCGACCGCATGGTCGACATAAACGACAACAAGAGCAAGAACGCCGAGACGCTCCCGACGCTCGTCTTGTACATTGACGACATCCTCCGCCACGAAGAGAAATCGCGCGCGCTCAAAGCCACGCAGCACGCGGCAAGTCTCCGGTGCGAAAACACTGGAGCTGAGAACACTGTGGCTCATAGGTCCTCCGCGCCAACACGGACCTGCGCAACGTCTACCGGCACTACGCGTCCTGCGGCGGCACGACGACGGCGCACGCGTCCACCGAAAACACCGTGCTCATGGAGATGCGGGAGCTCTGGCGGTTTAGCGCCGAGTGCCGCCTCAACGTGAGCATGGGCAAGCTCAACCGGTACCTCCTCGTGGTCCGCAACGCGCAAAACAAGGCCGTCAAGAAGCTGCGGATCCAGCGCGAGAAGAAGGTTCTCGTAGCATTCGAGTGGTCCTAAGATCTGAGATTGATGGGTAGCGCCGGCACATGAACAGTCGGGCCATGGACGCGATCGAGACGCCGCGGGAGAAGTGGACCGACATCCACGACCCGGACCGCGTCGTTTTGTTTCGCGAGTTCTGCGAGATCCTCGTGCGCATCGCGTGGGACGATGCGCTGGAGCGGGGCGAGGTCCTCTATTATTCCGGACAAGCTCTAGAAACGAAGCGTAGGTGGACATGACGGTCGCCGACGCTTTCACGTACCTCTATGACGCCAAGATCCACGACCACGCGTCGACGCCGATGCTGCCGATGGAAGCCATTGAGATCTCGGTGCACAGCTTGGAGATGCAAACGGTGTTTCAAAAGTACCAGGAGCTACTCGAGAAGCTCTTTGCGCAGTACAGCGGGCCGGTCGCGACGCCCGAGAATGATTTGCACCTGACGACGGGCAACTTTGTGCTCATGCTCAAGGAGAAGCGGGGTCTTGGCGCCCTCGGCGTCCCCGGCGTCCTCAAGTGTCTGCGCAAAACCAACGACGAGGAGGGCGGCGGAGATTTTGACCCGTTCCTGCTCGACGCCGAGCTCATTTACCCCGAATTCCTCGAAGCCATCGCCAAGGTGGCCATGGCGGCCGCCACGCGCAACCTCCCGATGCCAGTTCTCGTCGCCCAGTACATTCGCGATACGTTCGAGAAGCCACCGCGTGCGATGAGCCTCCGCCGGCTCACAACCGTTCTGGAGCCCAAGAAATCCATGACACACTTCTAGTACACGAACTGTAAAGTTGTCAGCACGTACATTGCGCAATATTAGTGTTGGTTGACCTCGTAGTGGTCCGTGGCTCATATCTTATAGAGTCACTGACGTGGCAGCCGGAGCGAACAGCGTGCGCGACACCACGTGGTCGTGCAGAACGACGACTTGAGATTACAGCTCCGACTCCTGAGATGCGCCCGTCCCACACACGACGTCATTGGCGTCGCAGTCGTGGCGGCGAGGGTCTTGGACGTCCTGAGAGAGACGAGAAGGTGGCGACGACTAAGGTGGTCAGCATCGGTAGTCGAGCGGATCATAGATGCTTGGAACACCCGAAACGCCCATCTCGCTGCCACGACGAACCAACGTTTCGGGAAACCAGCTCGCCCTTCCAAAGACGACCGACTCTCTTCGCAGTCGAGTGACTCACAGCACGGACCACCGGCGTTCGGGTCCAACCTGGCTCACACTGTATTTTATTCTGGTAGCAAACTCTGGACGACGTCCGCTGTGCCTAGCGAAGCTCCACAACACGCCTACCTCGTTCAACTGCCGACGAAGAGCACTGCTGAGGTCGTGAGAGCCGCTTCTTCCACGCGTAGTTGCTAGTGTCGGGCCTAAGAACCCGCGAGTTGATTGCTTCGGGCGTGCCAGCTGGTTCGCATTTTGACTTGATGTTTGTATGGCGTCGCACTGCTCATGCGTTCCATAGCGCAATGTGTCCTCGGTGCCCGATGTAATTTAAAACCAAACATTTTATTCTTTTCTCCATTTGTATTCTAGTGCATACAATATCCTAATGAAATGGGCAGTAAAATAAACCGAACGTGGAAAATTGTTTCAACCACAAGCCAGGCTCGGCATCTGTCTCGGGAATCGAACTGGTTGCTCACTCTGCGGGCTCTCTCGCGCGAACGCTGCGGTGGCCATGTCATTTCCTAATCTCCACTGCCATGCGCGTCTCGACTGCTTCGATCCTCGCCGTGCTCGCGTCGACGGCCTCCGCCAAGATGGCCAACCACCAGTGCGTCGACATCTACCGCGGCGCCCGCTACTGCTTTGAAGCCGACGGCGTCGTCTGCGGCGCGTCCGAAGGCGCCTGCCCCAAGGCCGGCACGAAGGCCGGCGCCCGCTGCCTCGACTTCCTTGAGAGCTACAACGGCGACTCGTGCGTGCTCCCGCGCGACACGGTCTGCGAGGAAATGGACAACAAGTGGCGCTGCGTCCTGCCCGGCAAGCCGTCCGAGCAGTCGCACGGCTACGTCACTGCGCCTGGCACGCAGCCCACCAAGACGGAGATGGCGCAGCCCCGCCACGGCGGCCTCGGCTCGCCCAAGACCCACAAGCCCCATACGCCGGCCCCGACGACCGAGGACGTCGATAACGACGAAGGCAGCGACTCGACCGAGGGCAGCGACTCGGACAGTGGTAGCAGCAACAACGAATCGGATGATGGCAGCGACGATGACGCCACCACAAAGCCTCTCGGTGACAGCGCCAACACCAACCCCAACGACACGGGCGGCATCGACGACACGATGGCGTCTGTCCTCGGCAACCCTGTGACACAGGCGCCGACCAACTACACGCTCGGCGACGCCGCGACGGCTGCGCCGACCACCGAGACGGTCCATTCGGTCTCGAACCAGGCCGAGAGCGGTGCGACAGGTGTCAACGAAGCGCCGTCGCAGGGCATGGTGGCCGTGTACGCCGTTGGCGGTATCGCGTGCGTGGCGGCGGCCATGTTCGCCGTGCACAAGCGCCGGGCGACGTTGAAGGCCAAGGCCGACGACGAGTGCCTCGTGACGCCGGCCGTGCCGCACCCGGACATCCTGCCCAAGGAGGGCTCGACGACGCCGACGCTCATGGCCTCGACCGAGAAGATCAAGGTCACCAACGTCTAAGCCCTCTCGTGTCTTCGTCGTAATTCATTAACTTGGCGCTCGATATATGTTGTACCCTATGACCACTTGCCCGCTTCAACATCGCCCAGAGCTTCGAGCTCATGAGCTCCTACGGAGCGTCTGTCAAGATGGAACCAGACGTCCAGAAACGTGTAGCGTCGCCAGAGTCAGGTCATCGAAGGCTCGATCCAGCGCCGCATTCCATCGCGTTTTGCCCATGAGCAGTGATTATTTTACGTCGGGTTAAAGGGTTCAACCTATTTTACGTTCGCCACACTTTGATTTCAACGATGGGCGTCGACTGGGCCCGCCGGGTGGGAACGTTCTGCGTCGCCGCGCCGCTGGCGATCTACCTCCTCTGCAGCGCGACGGGTACGGCCGCGCTCACGATGCTCATCCAGACGGGCTGCCTCCTCGAGTTCCGCCTCAACGTCTGCCCGCAGATCCTGCAGCACATGGCTGGGCGGAAGCCAGCGCATGTACGTCGCTGCGAGGTCGTCTGGCTCTGGCTGAGGATGCATAGGCGCCGTGGCTGCACGCGCTGACGCTTGCTGGTCTCGGCGCGCTGGTCGCTGCCGCCGCCACATTCGACAAGTGGACCCATGGTATAGCTCCTATGCATGCGGCTTCTCGTCTCATACAAGGTAGATGCAACGGCCGCCGGCGTGTACTTTGCCGTCTTTCTTCTGCATCTCCTCATGGCCAAGGGCCAGCGCGAGCCGACGCTGCACGCAGGCCTGTTGAGCCTTGTCTTGGACCTTGTCGCGCTCTGCTACATTGTCCAGTGCGTCCATCACAACATTGACTCGCACTCATGACGAGCACGTAGCGGCTTTGGCCACGCAATCCTCGTGCGCCAGGCGTCGTCGACGTACGGCATGGGTCTGCAGGTACACTGCTGCTCCGGCTCAGTTCTCACGGTGGCGTTCTAGATCATGACGGTGGCCTGCTCGTGGATCTGCGATACAGGCGCGCTCGTCGCCGGCTCGCTCTTTGGCAATGCCAAGCTACTCGCTGCCATCTCGCCGGGCAAGACGGTCGCCGGCGGCCTCGGTGGCATCGTCTTTAGCGTTGCTACGGTCGTCGGCGCCTCGCTCCTCCCACGTACGTCCTGTTTGTCGGTGCGAACATTAGCCTCACGTGCAGCTAGCGGCCTATGCGTGTCTGCCGCCGCTCTCGCTTCTGCATCAAGTGCTTTTGGGCATCGCTATGGGCATCGCATGCATCGCCGGCGACCTCGTCGAGTCATACTTGAAGCGCGTCGCCCAGGTCAAAGACTCGGGTACGTGTGCTCGTTGCTGCAAACTGCTTGGCTCATGCGGGGCAGGCGTCTTCTTCCCCGGCCACGGCGGCTGCCTCGACCGCATGGACAGCCTCCTCTTCGTCGCGCCCTTGATGTACTACTGGACGACGGCCATGGGCATCTAGATACATTCAAACCAAGTTGCAGCTCTATAATACGACTCTAGTTGTTGACGAACGCGCGCTTCTGGCGGCGCTTGGCCTTGGACGGCGGTGCGTCCTCTGCGATCGACTCGAGAAGCGTCTCGACGGGCGGCTGCTCCGTAGTCGTCATCTTGGGCGTCGTCTCCGCCGTCTTCTTCTGGATAAACTTGACGCGCTGCTCGCGGCTGCCGCCCAGCAACGACGAGTACTTGCCGTGGCGGGGCATGAAGATACCACGCTCTTCCTCGGGCACCGTAAAGTGCGTCGGGCGGATGAAGGTGCGCTGCGTGCTTGCCTCGTACGCCAAGCGCGCGTCGGTCTCTTCGCTGTCGAGCTTGGCGAGCGCAACGTCCAGCGGGTCCTTGGGCTGGCGCAGCTTGCCAATGTAGATGATACCCAGGCACACGACGACGACGACGATGTGCGCGCCCATGATGTGCTTCCAGACACCCTTGAGGCCATAGACCATAGCGAAGAGGATGGCCACGTGGATGCGTCTGAACTCCGTCATGTCCGTCTTGCTTTGCTCTCTGCCTGCGTGGACTCGGAACGCCGGATACGTTGCCAGGTGGCATCCGGTAAAAAATGCCGCCACCCATCTTGCCCGTGCCGAAAACAAATCTTTCGATGCCGAATTTAGCAAAGCGGTCCCTCCACCTCGCCGCTCTCGGCCACGCCACGAGGAATCGTCTGCGCGTCGCCTGCAGTGGTCATGGCCTGGAGTGCTCTGCGCGAAGCTCCTTGGCGCGCTGGAGAGAGGTCTGTCCTGCCCAACTCTGCCGGACAGGCGCCACGGGCAGAGTTCACGCGCTTGCAACGCGGTCTCGTCGACGCGGGCCTCGCCACTCGGTATACGACGTCGCTCCATGAACAAGCTGTCTACAGTATAAAGAAGCGCTGGGTGATGGGAAACGACAAGGTGAAAGACGCTTCGAATTGTTCGCCGCAAAAGGGCGGCGGTGTAAGTTAACAAGGAGATTCTTAGCCGGGGTAATGTGCCGACTCGATGCTGACGTAGCCTTCGCGGCGGCTGCTTGGCGGAAGGCCGAGACGTTCGCAGAGCAAGATGCAACCAAAGAGGAGGAAGCCGAGGAAGATGAGCACAAACACTTGGCGCGTCTTGTTGAACGACGTGTCAGGGGCCGGCCCCGGCGCACAAGTACATGCCGACGACCCGATTGGCGGGCAGGCGTGCTCGGTGCTGCAGCAGCAGTACTGCTCCGGCGCCGGGATGAGGCCGCAAAACTTGCCAGCCGAGGAGTTGTAGGCGCGGTCGCACTGCCCGGACGCGGCGCAGGCTTTGCAGGCCGAGGGCGCCGGTGTCGACGGGCTCTCTGCGAAAGCGGTAGCGAGAAGGAGCGTGAGCAGGAGGCTCCAAAGTACTGTGGGCCGTGGCATCTGGTGCGTTGATCTGGAATTTGGAAATGCCAAGAGCATCACATCACGCAAAACAGATGGTGCGTGACCTTTGTCCCGTGATGGGCCAACTTCAAGTGCGATCTGGCGGACCGCTTGCGAGGGACATCGAGCGGCTGGCGGCGGCGGTTCCACTCGACCAGCGCTCTCAAAGCTCAGCAATGCTACAAGTATATTGTTGCATCGTCGGAAGACGACGAGGGTAGCGGTGTTGCGCATGCGGTGTCATAGGCTCTGCCGTCCTCGTGGCTTTGTCGCCCGACGCAAAGGCTAGCGTATGGAGCTCGTCGCTAACACCCGCGGACGCCCAGGGTTCGTCAGTCATTTGCGATACGAGCATGGCTCCCCGCGCCTTCTTTGCTCTTCTCGTTCTCGTCGCTGCAGTTGCCGCGGCCACGACGCCGGCGTCGACCTGCCATGCGTGTGCGACCACCGGACGCTGCGCCGATGTCAAGTACTGCGGTGTGTGGCCGACAACCGGCGCCTGCTGCTGTAAGCTCGACGCTGTGTGCCCTGTTCCAATGAGCGACGGGACGTGCAAATGCCGAGAAGCGGCGGCGACGCCGTCGACGCTCCCGTGGTTCGTCTTCCTCGTGTGCTTCTTCATTGGCATGGTGCGGCTCGTCAGCGACAACCCCGTCGAGGCAGGCCTCAGCCCTGTCGCGACGGCTCTCGGGTACTCCTTTTAACATGACGCCCACCTACATCTGCATCCAGTACGACGATAAAACGATGCTCTTTACTTGATCGATGCCATCGCTAAACTGTGCACTTGCCGTGGCGCTCATCGCATACCTACAGCCCAAATGCACCAGCAACTCACATCTGGACTCAACTTGGTCGTACTTTTGGTACACCAGTGCGACTGGCTCGCTCACTTGGCAACCGAAAGCTGAAGAGCTGCACGAGCGATCATTGTACTAGTAGTGCTCAGTGCTGAGATGAGACGCTACAGCGAGGTCGTCGCGCGCAGTGCTCAGCTCTTAGTTGCCGAAGCGAGGTGTCGAGAGGCAGTGTACGTCGGCACTGTTCTCTTGAACTACCGAGGAGACAGCCGCCACGACACAAGACGAGGATCGAGCGAAGAATACTCGACACGCGATCTGATTGGCCAAGCGTGGATAAAGATACGCTCTCGGCCAATGAGACGCTGGCATTTTCTTCTTCTTCAATTTGCGAAATGCACTCGATGGCGGGAACCTGGTCGCTGCCGATGGACGTCATCGAACTCATCGCGATGCAAGTGGCATGTCCTTCGAGCCTCTCAGCGCTGCTGAGCGCCCTGCCCCCACCCGCCGTGACACCCGCGCTCGCGGCGCTTCAAGCGCTGACGCAGCAACCGACGACCGCGCGCGTCTCGTGGCCTCGCGTCACGTTCCTCTCAACAGCATCGGCCTCGACGCACGCGCATCTCACGAAGCTCATACGCCACGGGGTTCAGATTGAGCTTGTTTTGCGCCAGCCTCGGGACATCCTCGAGGCCGCCGTGCCGCTGACCGCCGTGACCAGAGTCCACATTGCACCAACCAAACCGCTCGCGGAAGCCGACGGCGTCATGCTGCTCCTCGCTCTGGAGCGCGCGCCTCTCGAGCGCATGATAATCAACGCAGCTCGACAAGA